GAGTCTAATATGCCAATACTTCTCAGTGGAATATGAAATTCATGATTAAAATTATTTCATTAAGACATTCAGAAGACCATTGTTAACAACAAGCGTACAGAAAAAAATACCTGACCAGTAATTCAATTCAGTTTAGTTTAGCCTTAAATGTAACATAACTCAACACTGTTTTGAACCTGTTTAACTTCATCATATTTATTATTTAATGCTAAATTTTGTTTGATTAAATATTATCATTAACTTTAACTATATTCAAGGTTATAAAATAAAATCATACACATGTAGCATATATATATATATATATATATATATATATATATATATATATATATATATATATATATATATATATATATATATATATATATATATATATATATATATATATATATATATATATATATATAAGCAGTGGTAGCGTTTAGGTGTTTCTGGAAGGAGGTGAGGCAGACAGAGAGATTAATACCATACTAGATATATCGTCTTTCCCTCTCCCGCCGTCAGCTAGGGCGAGATGTATCGCTGGGTCGCCCGCCGCTGTTCTCAAAGGCTATTGAAAGAAAACTTGAACCTAAAAAGATTATAAGTGTTTTTTTATGTGGAGGAGAGAGAAGGGGAGAGAAGGATGGCAGTAAGAAGAGAGTAAAGGGGGATAGGAATGGGGATAACATACGATGAGAAACAATTGATGATATATAAAAAAATAAACTAAAATTCAAGAATCGAGTGAATTAAATGTACGAAAATAATTAAGGTGTAAATTGATAAAATAAAACACTAACACAAGGAAAGAAAATATATTGAGGTCACTTATTACTTGACCACTATGACCATCCATTGTGTGAGGAAACTATTGATCACATATTGTCGTAGCTGTTACCGCTGGAACAAGCTCTCCAGATGTAGGTATTAGGGTCTATAGATACTATTACTTCCCCCTTGGTTATTTCCCCCTCCCTCCCCGCCAAATACACCGAACATTGTGGAAGTTTATTGATTTAGTGAGCGTGGTGACCGAGTGGCCATTTATATGAAGTTTGAGTGTAGTTATCAGTATCGTAAATTCCCAACAGGAGTCAGAATCATATAGTGTTTTTCTGTTGTCGTAAAAGAACACAATCAAACACAGTTTTTGTTTTAACATCATCCAGACAGCAGAGATCGATACAGCCAATCATAAATCCGTTAAAATTGACAGAAAACAAATTATTGTCCTTGGAAATGAATAACAATAATAATAAAACGTTTTAAGGTGGGCTGCAAAGTCCCATAGAGTTTAGTGTAACATTTGTTTATGGGTCCCGTTTACCAAGGTGCCCGTCCGCCCGCCGTAGACCATTGCTTCCGTTCCTCGATCACAACATTACCACCTTTCATTTCGACTAAAAACTGAACCATAAAATTATAGCTTTGACCTGAGTTGTATATTCAAGTTTTTACGCGATTGTCTGCCGTTGATGGAAGAATTTTATTGTTTTTGCAATGGACACGTTAATTATATTCTGTATTTTCATTAACTATTTTTTTCCTCTGCTATTCTTCTTGTACGTTCATTGTAAATATCTAGCAGGTGTCTCTCTCTATTTTCTAATATTTATACCTTCAAAAACAAACCAATAATATCATGTCTCATACCTCACGTTATTATTACCCATTTTTTTTCCATCACTTCATTTAACTTTATTGTGTTGGGATTCACATCGGTGCGGCAGACCTATATTTTCCAAGACTTTTGCTCTCATGTTGTTAAGAATTTGTTACATTGTATGACTTCGTTACTCGCTATTATTACCATCAAAATATTTCTTGATAATACCGTACTGTATATGAAAATCGAGATTGCTAGTCCCGCCGCGGCATATAAAATAAGTCGCTGTCTTATGTTAGCTGAAACGTATAATCGTCATTGTGTTTTACAAAAAGTTCGTGCCACTTCTGGATCCACAACCTAAGAGACGAGACCACATGACTGTAAGGTGGAAAGTAATGTCTTCTCTTAACTTTATAAATCAGTTTTCTTAGTAATGAATGTTAAAGATAAATATGATAACAAAAAAATACATATATACGTATTTCTTAAACCTTAAATACACCGAAATATCTTCATGTCATATTATTTTGTATTTTTGTCCATTGTAATGGTAAGGTTATCGTTATAAATGATATACCTTTACGGCTACTGTGGTGATACTGACGGAGTTTAATTTTGTTTTTCTTCTTTCGTCCTCAGATTATTGTCTTGTACGGAACACATTGAATTTGTTTTGCATATTCTCAATCTAATTTACGTATTGTGTCCAGTTGGTATTTCTTCATTTCAGTAAAATTAATTCTGAATACTAAAACATAATGCATCATTGTTTTTTCACTTACAAAAGTTATATGAAATTTATAATTCCTTCCTTTTCCATTTTGTATCGTTTTTATTAGGTTTTCCTTATTAAAATATTCATCTTACCTTAATGATTTTAACCTAATTTTCATAATATTATGCCACTACCTAAATTTATCGTTATTATTTGTTCCAATGAAATCTGTTATTACGTTAGTGATTCATTTTCTAAAATTATCTATGTTATCAGCTTGTCTTAGTATTTTTCTTCACACATGAGGTTCGATTTAATTTTTAATCCTCGTGTACTTTATATTCACAGGCTGTTACAATATGATGCCACAGTTCACGATATGATTTCCAAATGTTCGGCAAACTAGTCATGTATTATTCCAGTTGTCATTCCCGTTGTATTTCACACTGAGACTGTAAGTGAACAGAGAGAGACAGAGAGAGAAAGAGACTGAATGAGAGAAAGGGAGACAGAGTAAGAAGGATAAAGAAACTAAGAGAGAAAGTAAGAGAGAGAAAGAAAGAGAAAAAGAGAAAGAGAGAAAGAGAGAGAGAGGGGATAAGAGGGACAGAGCGAGAGGAAGAGAGACAGGAAGAGAGGAAGAGAGAGAGAGTAAGCTCAAGTGTTTATTGGGTCACCTAGACATTCATCTCCCTCCGCTTCACATCCCACCAAATATATCAACGTGAACGCCAGCATCCCACGTATACATATATTCTTATTTTGGCCAGGGGGGGAGGGAGGGGTGTATATCGGCCTCGCTTGGGGGTACAGAAGGTATATACTCTGCGTAAACAAGTTCTACTATGCATCACCCGACGACCTATCTTATTGACGGCCTCGGTGCTCGCTGATGTCATGCCCCCTCTACTTGTTTGTGGTCTATGAGTTTTTTTTTCCTCCTTCTTCGTCTTCTGTGTTGTGTGACGAAATATTTCCTAGTTGGTACTTAACCTTGTTTACGAGTGGACGATAATTCTCTTCGATTATAGATATAACCGTTGGTCTTTGGTCTTATTTCACACGTGTTTGTGGGATTGTTTTTTGTTTTCTTTAGTATAAGTGATCATGATTGATGTATAAATTTCCTTTTGTTTCCTTAGATTGATGTGTTCTGAACTTTTACTCTGATTATGGAGTGATTTTTATTTTCATTTCAAAGATTGATGATTTCTCTTGATGGTGAAATTATCGGAGTAGATATTATGTTCTTCTTGGAGTTTTTTATTTTATTTTATGAATGATGATGTGTGACTTGAGATACACTTCGACTCCCGTTGTTTCCAGATGATAGTAGTTGTAGTAGTAGTAGTAGTAGTAGTAGTAATAGTAGTAGTAGTAGCAGCAGCAGCAGCAGCAGCATGTTCTCTCTCTCTCTCTCTCTTTGATTTTATGTCTCTCCCTCTTGTCTTTCTTTCTGGCAATTTTCTCTCTAACTCTCATATTCTTATCCTACTCATTTTCTGTCAGTCTATTCTCAAGTTCTCTATCTTTCAATTTCTGCCTTCCTCTCACTTTCTTTGTATATTCTCAAGTTATGTCTCTTATTTTCTGTCACTCTTATTCTCTCTCATCCCTCTTCCTTCCTTCTTCCTTCCTCTCTCACTCAACCCTCTCTACCTTCCCCTCTCAAGTATCAGGTACTTTGAGGGGTTCCATTTTTCCCACAGGATTTCGATATTAATTGCCCTCTGTTTACATACGAAGAGAGAGAGAGAGAGAGAGAGAGAGAGAGAGAGAGAGAGAGAGAGACCAGACGCCATCCCTTAACACTAGCCCTTAGAGGGGGAAATTTACACAAGATCCATCCAACAATTCCATTTCGTTGAGAAAACACCTCATACATCTCTGGCTGTCAGTTGGCCATACGACTCACATACATTTTCTTGACCCAGAGAAAAAAGGGGGTATGTGGGAGCCAGGGGGGAGAGGATGTGAAGGTAAAAAAAAAAAAAAAAAAGGAATGGAAAAAAATCAAGGAAAAAAGGAGATTAAACAAGGGGGTGTAAGGAGGTTGGGAGTTGGGGGGGCGGGTTAAGGTGGGGTGAAGGTTTAAAAAAAAGTTAAACGGAAATTAAGAAAAAAAAACGCAGAATAAAAATGTCTAAGACGAAGTGGGAAGGAAATAGTGATTATGGGAAAAGAATTTATGTTCATGTTGTTTTTATTTTCATTTTACCTCATTGAAATGTTGAAATATTTATAGGTGTATTATTATTTGTACTATTGTTATATTATCATTATCGTTTATACTATTTTTATTACCAATTATTATTATTATTATTATTATTATTATTATTGTTATTATTATTATTATTATTATTATTATTATTATTATTATTATTATTATTATTATTATTATTATTATTATTTTCTTCTTATTATTATTATTGATATAAATAATATTATCTCCCATTATCAATATATTATTACTGTCTGAAATACGGAAACAATTGTTATAGAGCGTTGCTAATGAATGTAATACGTTGATAACTGCTGTTGATAATTGCTGCAATACGATAATAATTCATGGAATACGTTGATAATTATTTCTCATCAGCGTGTAAATAATCATTCAGACATAAGTCATTTCTGTTCCCATCCCTAATCATCATTACCTGAGTTTACCTGGTTATTGTTTGAACATTTTTTAAGGTATGGGGGCAGAGTAGCGTGGAAGAGGGGAGGAAGAAGAAGATCAAGAAAGGGGAGGAAGAAGAAGATCAGGAACAGGGGAGGAAGAAGAAGATCAGGAAGAGAAGAGAAGGAAGAAGATTAGGAAGAGGGGAGGAGGTAGATCAAGATGTGGAGAGGGGAGGAGGAAGATCAGGATGTGGAGAGGGGAGGAGGAAGATTAGGATGTGGAGAGAGGAGGAGGAAGATCAGGATGTGGAGAGGAAGTGCAAAATCAGGAAGAGGGGGAGAGGGGGAGAGGGGGAAGTTTGTGAGGCTTGTGGGTTAGGGAAGTTGTGATAGATGGTGGTGGTTGTGTTGATAGGTAGTGATGAGTTGTGTGGTAGGTGGTGATGTATTTTAGAGGTGGTGGTTAGTGTTGGTGATGCATGCTAAAAGTGATGGTGGTGGTAGTAGTAGTAGTAGTAGTAGATGGTGGTGATGTATGCTCGTAGTGGTGGTAGTAGTAGTAGAAGAGAGTGATGTCAGGGTAGAACCGACCCGCCTTCCATTGGACGGTGAGAATTTCCAACATAGGACTTCAAACACATCCAACGAAGCCCATGTTGACGTCAGTGCTCGAGGATTCTGGACGCATGGACAGCGTACCTTCTTCGACATCAGGATTTTTGATCCCATGGCCGCATGTCACCGTAACTTAGCTTTTGATGCTGCACACAGGAGGAACGCGAACGACAAGATAAGGGCATACGGGGAGAGAATTCAGAACGTTGATCAAGGCAACTTCACTCCTCTGGTGTTCACAACCTCTGGTGGGATGGGACCAAGTGTAAGATGCTTCTACGCCAGACTCGCGGAGGTGCTATCCGAACAGACGCAGCAGCCCAGAAGTTATGTTACAGCCTGGATGAGATGTCGACTGTGTCTATTGGGGGAGGATGGAGGTAGTGATGTATGCTAGTAAAGGAGGTGTTAGTAGTAGTAGAAGAGAGTGATGTATGCTAGTAAAGGAGGTGGTAGTAGTAGTAGAAGAGAGTGATGTATGCTAGTAAAGGAGGTGGTAGTAGTAGTAGAAGAGAGTGATGTATGCTAGTAAAGGAGGTGGTAGTAGTAGTAAAAGAGAGTGATGTATGCTAGTAAAGGAGGTGGTAGTAGTAGTAGAAGAGAGTGATGTATGCTAGTAAAGGAGGTGGTAGTAGTAGAAGAAGAGAGTGATGAATGCTAGTAGTGGTGGTGGTAGTAGTAGTAGAAGGTGGTGATGTATGCTAGTAATGGTAGTGGTAGTAATTATTGATATACGTTACCTGTGGTGGTGGTAGATGGTAATGATGGTGTTGGTTGTAGTAGATGATGGTGATAAGGACTGACGATAATACTAATAGTAGAGGTAGATAAGAATGGTGGTTTTTGTGGTAGATAATAATGATACTGGTTGTAGTAGATGTTAGTGGTGTTTGTGGTAGACGATAGTGAAGCGTGGTGTTTATTAGTTGTTAGGTCTTGATAATTGGTTCTTGTATACTGTCTGTCTGTTTATCCATTCATCTGTTTATCTGATTCGTAAATGTCATTCCCTCTTCCCTCCTTTTAGATAATAATATTGATTCACCACTACGAGTGTAGTTTATACATATTTACATATTCATATATTATCCCACTAGGGTAAGAGACTGAGCCTGGGGCACGAAGGCTCTGAAGTTCCTGAATGAACTGGCCTCCAAACTTATTGAAATAACCAGACAACAGGATGACCCAGAGAGGGAATGTTTACTGTATACTGTACTGGGCTCTCGTCTCTCACCTGAGGAGGTCGGGAGAGTCTTAGAAATGTTTTACCTATACGTATATTTACTGTAGATTAGAATAAGTAAAAAAAAATATAAATAAAAAAAGAAAAAAGAAAGGGGTGGTAGGAGAAGAAAATATTTCTTCACAGTTCACGAAAAAATATCCTAATTTTTCGTGAACGGTTCTTATTTTCTTCTCTGAGGCGAAGGGTCTCCTAACACATCAAATTAGAGGTGGTACCCCTATAAATAAATAAATATATATATATATATATATATATATATATATATATATATATATATATATATATATATATATATATATATATATATATATATATATATATATATATATATATATATATATATATATATATATATATATATATATATATATATATATATATAAGATGTTAATGATATAGCTTTACGCCCTCATGAAACACATAACATAACCTAAAGACAACAGCTATAGTTTATGTGTGTGCGTAACCCATATTTAATGCTGCAGGTTGTAGACTGGAATATAAATATAAGTTATCCCGGTCCCAAGTCGAGTATCCTGCTCATGTAAGCAAGGAGAGAACTAATTGTGCATAATATATGGGATTCTTTCGTCCGTGCAGGACTGTACTCCCACATACAATATATCTTAATGCATAACCTTCAAAAAAAAAAATTTCATCCTTGAAATTTAAGAACACGCTAGAGGCTGCTATTTCTTTAGTGTTCTCTTTGTAAAATATAAATTCGACAGGAACAAGTTATTTTGATGAAGGTCCAGTAATTATAGTTTATAGACGATTTATTTTCTGTTGTGTGATGTTTCATAACAATCCAGTACATAAATAATGAGAGCGGAACTTCAACTGAGTATATTATCTATGTGAGGAAATATAGTAATTGGCTCCTCCTCCAACTAATATATGACACCTCTAATACTTCAGAGATGGATAGCGTGTATACAATGTTAACACACTATTATAAACAGTTAATCACAAGAACACTATTGATAGGGGAGGAGTTAACAGTGAAAAATGTTACTCCTAGTCGTCGAGGAGGAGGAGGGGGCGGTAATTCATAACGAAACAATAAATAACATTGCGATAATTAAGACCCGAAACGAACCGGAGTGAATGAAGCAGTTTTTTCCAATAGTCGTTCCTTCTAGAGCAGATTCGAACGAGTAGTGCGTGTCTGCGTGCGTGCGTGCCTGTGTGTGTGTGTGTGTGTGTGTGTGTGCACGTGTGGACTGCGGTGCGGCTATGATTCATTCCAGAACAGATTCTAGCGAGTGAATGAAACAGTTAGCGAAGTCAATGTGTAATTTCCTCATGGACTTGGGGTAAGGGGGGGGACCTCTTATCTATTTCAGATGCACACGAGACTATGCTATCTGCCAGAGATTTTTATCACCCTGAATTTATAGGCTTTTAGTGCAGAAACACAATATTTAGGGAAGGTTGTGTGTGTGTGTGTGTGTGTGTGTGTGTGTGTGTGTGTGTGTGTGTGTGTGTGTGTGTGTGTGTGTGTGTGTGTGTGTGTGTGTGTGTGTCACCCCCCCCCCACACACACACACACACCAAACACATTAGGTTATGGAGAGGTGCGGACGTGGGATGAAGAATGCCCCGCCGTACACGACACAGACTTACATACATATACACTTAATGGAATACATTCTCGCCAAAACTGTTGGTCGCGATGATGCATTGTAACTGAGGGCTCTTTATGTGTGCTCCTGCTGGGGTGGGTGAGGGGGGGGGAGGTAGTAGGAGGAGGAGAACCAGGAGAAGGTTGACGAAGAAGTGGTGTTCAGGGTGGATGGTCCTGTAGCCAAGGCGCATCACAAAATGATCTGGTGTTGTTGGAATGAAGGAATGGATGGGTAGACGAGCTCATGCTTTTAACTGCCATTTAGCGCTGGCTAGATATGGCACAAATTGTTATATAGTTGTGGTGTGAGCAGGAGGAAGGGGAAGAGGAGTAGGATGATGATGTTGACGTGGGAGGTGGAAGTAAGGTAGATGGTAATGTTTTGCATGTTTTTCTCCTTCTGTTTGTGTTTACTTCCTTACTTATGTTCGTGTGTGTCTTTTTATTTGTATTTTTTGTAATAGTTTGCTTATCCAGATGTATGTTTTATTTTGGTGTTTGTATGTTTGTGTTTACTTGTTTGGTGGTTCTGTTGTGAATATCTGTGCTTTCCCTTGTCTCTGTGTTTGTAATGCTTGCTTGTAAATCTTTGTTGAAAGATTTATGCTTTCTGCTGCGATTTTTTTATCTCCTGTATTACCATTTAAGAATGTTTGTTTACATTCAGTGCATGCCTTTACATCTCATTTTTCAGCTTGTTTTTGTCTATACATCCGACTCACACACACACACATACACACACATACACACACACCTTCTATCCCCCTGTACATCACAAACATAACTGAGACTACTATAACTAATTTACATACGGAGGAAATGTGACATCGCCTCAGAACCCCTTCATTATGTAGTGATTCAGAAGACAATAGAACCCCCTCGTTACTCAGTGATTCAGAGGACAGATCAGACGTTATTCATGTGTTCTCAGTACTTGTTATACCACGGGCTCGTTATTAGTATTAACCACATTTATAATATTTAAGTCATAAGTCATGATGGATGGACATGCTGCCACATCCATTAACGAGGACAAATTGACCCTCAGCATGGACGTGAAGACAAAGCAACGTAGATGTAAACATTCAGGTCACAGGTGAATTAAGTACGAAAGCGGGAGGAATGGTAATTATGTTAAAGGGATGGGGGAGAGAGGGGTGAAAAGGATGGGAAATAAGGCGAGAGAGAGAGAGAGAGAGAGAGAGAGAGAGAGAGAGAGAGAGAGAGAGAGAGAGAGAGAGAGAGAGAGAGAGAACATGTTAATCGTTCCGTAAGTTTTTTTAGTGGGCAGACGCAAATGAAAGTTATTTATTTGATTTACGGAGATGGACGGGGTGACCCAGTGAGTAATATTTCCTCGGCATGCCAGCCACAACTTCTATATAAGATGAAGCTGTCGTAATGCAATTTTTAGCTGATGAATTCGCTGTCGTGTTGTATCGGGTGTGACATGTCCTTACCGGTACATATTTCACCGGAGGGAGGAGAAAGAAGGGAAGGGAGGGGTAAAAAAGAGGGAGGGGGAGAGATGAGAAAAGGGGAAGGAAGAGGGATGGGAAGCGGAAGGGGAAGAATGAGGTGTTCGGGGGAGGAGGGAAGGGAAGGAATTGGGATTGGAAGAGGAAATAATAGGGGTGGAAGGGGAATGGGAGGGAGATTGGATGGAAAGGGAAGGGGAAGCAACAGG